TCCCTGCCAGCAACTGCCGCTCTCCAGCGGCCTGGCTCTGAAGGCAGCAGGAAGGGCAGCAAGACCACAACTCCCCCCACAATAACCTTGTGACCCCCTCCCCCGCCACACACAGCGCCTCTGTGGGCCAGGACCCTACAACTCACCACAACACTCCCATGGAACCACGACAGTCGCTGGTTTAAAGTCCTCCGAGTGTGAAATTGACCAAATTAGACTGAACTTGGAAGGGAAGGGAAAGGTTCCCAAGTCCGTCCTGTTCCCAGCGTCTCTGGGGCCACTAACTGGCCGTGGGGCTGGCCTGGCCCCACCAGCACAGTCTCTCCCTTCTGCCCCCTTCCCCCCCCCCGGGCAGTGGAGGAGGGGGAAGTTTATCAAGCTCCAGCCCTGTGGGATCTGAGTTCAAGCCCTCCAGCCTTCACGGGAGGAACAGGGGCCCATGCTGGGAACGGGCCAGCGGTGAAGTTTGGATCTAGGCCCGCTCCCGCCTCCCGTGGGTGGCTTGGTGGGATGCCTCTAATGTGGCCCACCCCTCCAGATTGTTCAGGGTCTAGTGGGGAGCAGGAGTCCTGGCTTCCCGTCCCAGCAGGGTGAGTGGGTCTAGTGGTTAGAGCACAGGGCTGGGGGGAAGGGACTCTGATTCTATTCTGACCTCTGCAACCGAGTTGCTGCTGGATTTGGGGAGAAATTTCCTGCCGTGCCTCAGTTTGCCACCTGCGAAAGGGGCACGGTAATAAGTCCCCGCTTCCCAAAGGAGTCACCCCGAAAGCGCTGAGATTCTGGGGGCGCCAGGCTCCAGGGCTGGTGCTTGTGGGACTGAAAGGCTGGAATTTGCTGCGGGCACTTGGCTCCTTGCAGGGCAGCACATCCCTGGCTGGCCTCAGTCTCTCCTCCCCCTGCCGGGCCAGAGATCAGCTGCAGAGGTTTGATGTGTGTGGGGCAGGACTAAGAGCATCCACAGAGGTTAACTCCTTCAGTGCTGGCAGTTACTGCAGGAGCAACAGGAGGCAGCAGGCAGAGAGGGGCCTGGTGCTGGGGACACAGGAGAAGCTTGCATTGGGAACAGCCCCTTTCCTCACCCAGGGTCCCAAAGCACAGCTCTCTTTGCCCACCACAGAAATGCAGCCACCTCTGGGGTGGAATAGAGCCTCGGTACTGCAGCGTAGGACAGGGAGCAAAGCCATGGAAAGGGGATAGCGTGAGTGCCCGTTGAAGGGAAGGCCTGAGTCTGCGCTAAAAGGGGAGGGGAGGCTGTAGGCTGGCAGCAGCTGCGATCCCTGTGGGGGAGAGCTCGGGGGAGAAGGGGCCTGGCCCAGTCAGAGACTGACACGATGTAAGGCCAGAAGGAATCGGGATCCTCCTCTGTCCCAGGCCGGACCAGCTCCCAGGAGTCCTTAATTCAGCTGGCAGCGCTAGCTCTGCCACTGCCTTGCCAGGCAACCTAGGGCAAGTCACTTATCCGGCCGCCTCTTTGCCTCCGCTTCCCTCCCCTGCAAAATGGGGACGGAGACGATTATTTGCAGGGCCCTTGGGATGCTCCGACTTACTTGAAAAAGCTTGGGGGGAGGGGCTGGAGGGAGCGGTCCAAAGGCAAAGTCCCATTACCCCTGACCGGGGGCACCCTCTGATGCCTGTCGGGGGCGGTGCCTGGGCACCCTGCCCTGGAGCGGGCTGCTCGGTGCAGAGCCGTGGGGCTGCAGAGCTGTCAGCCTGGCCCCCTTCTGCCTGGCCCCAGCCTCCTCGACCCCTTTGGGGCTTGGTCCCTCCGCACAGCGAGTTCTGCCTGCGGCTTGGCCTGGCACGTCCGCTGACCGGGGGCACCCTCTGATGCCTGTCGGGGGCGGTGCCTGGGCACCCTGCCCTGGAGCGGGCTGCTCGGTGCAGAGCCGTGGGGCTGCAGAGCTGTCAGCCTGGCCCCCTTCTGCCTGGCCCCAGCCTCCTCGACCCCTTTGGGGCTTGGTCCCTCCGCACAGCGAGTTCTGCCTGCGGCTTGGCCTGGCACGTCCGCTGGGCTCGGCTCCCCCGCGCTCTGTGGCCGGCTCCAGCGGCTGGTGGGACCTGCCAGGGTCACGGAGTCCTAGGGACGCCAGCCTGGCTCAGCACCGCGGATCCTTCCCGGCGCCCCCGCCGTCCCGGGCTGTCCCCCAGCAGC